ATCTACAATCTGATCAAATAACCAACTTACAATATTAACTTTTCTTTGTGGACTCTGATTTTCTTTTTCTTCTATTTCTTTCTTACTTTCTAACATTTTCTTTACCAACCCACCTAAAATTTAATAAGGTCAAAGGTCAAATAATAACAATACAAACAAAACAGGGACAGTTTGACACATCTTTGTGATAATGAAATAAAGCAAAAAACCATTGATCGTAATTTCACAATCTAGAGTTAATATTGCTATACAGTGTTTTACGTGCTACTTCTCTGCAATGCCATGTAGCGTGTAATGAAAAAAACTTTTCCAGGAGACATTTACCAACTGTAGAGGGGATTTTTAACTTTCAGATCCTAGTTTTATTGTCCCATCCGAACAACTAGACACTTTTTGCATGTCAGCCCTCTCAGACCTGTATCACTGATGGAAGAAACAGGTTTGAAATTTATTGTGTGGGATTTGGTTAATGGAAAAATGTGAGGAAAATTTGATATATCTTACCATGATCCTCATCATCAATATCATCTTGTTTTGGTGGAGGCTGAAAATGTTACAGAAATTTAATAAAATACAAAAAAAAAGTTTTTTGGGTGGTAGTTTTGAGAAAATTTTGACACAATTTTTCATATTCTAACTGATAAAGGATCTTTCATTTTCAGTCTGTAGAACTCAGGGTTTATTGTTCTTGGTAAACTGATATTGCCATTATATTCCCCCTGTATAAACCACTATTTATAAACATTTACCTGTTCTGGTTCAGGGGGAGGTAATCCAGAATCTTCCACCAGGAAATTATCATCATCTGATTCTTTATCATCATCTACAATCAGATTGGCTGGTTTCCCTGTCCCTAGTCTCATACTGGGTTCACTCTCAGCACCCTCTTTAGGTCGGGGTGGAGCAGGTCTGGCGCTTGATGGTCTAGCTTGTCTCCTACTGCAAATTAAAGAAATCATCACTGTAGAGCAAAAAAATGAAATGAAATGAATGGAGTTTTACGTCCTACTTTTCTGCACCATGTGGTCTAACGAAGACCGGCAACGCCATATCACTGTCGAGCAAAAAATGAATGAAATTTATGTAGTTTTACTTTTCCCCATGAGTCTACTGGAGGGGCAAGACAAAAATACAGCACATGCACATCCTGTAGCACGCAGGGCCTCGATTTATTGTCCCATGGGGACCATTCAGATGCTTTTTAAACTGCGTCACTAACAAAAACAGAGTTGCAAAAATCTGAAAATATATCTGGACTCATTCTGGGATTGAACCCTAGACCTGTAACTACCACAGTACAGTTGCCTAGGTAAAATATAGTTTGTTGGTGTTTCTATAAGAGAGTAAAATTGTAATTGTAGTCACTCTTAACTTGAAAACTTGGAATCCTGAATTAAAACTCAGTGTACTATTAAGAACTTACGCATTAGCTACTTGAGGAGGTAAATCAGTTTCTTTAACAGAAGATTCTAGATTCTGATTGACGATTTACACTAGCTTTCTTTTCTTCTTCTGGAATATAAATAAAACACTTCAACCTTAACAACAGACTGTCAATAGAATAATGCTAACCTCTGACAACTGTGGTTACCAAATTTAATTTTGTCAGCTATTTTAAAAAGAAAATTAAAATGTTGTCAAGTCTTTGATGGTATAGAGAAAAAAATTTTGTTGTTCTGGTTAGTTTATTACAGTAACTATCAGTTTCAAATGAAATTTAACCCTGTTGCCATGCTGTACTACAGATTTTACTGTGAAGTATGCAATAGAATACTATTATTGATAACTTCTAAAAGTTCTAAATGACATTATCAAGTGAAAATTAAGAAGATAAATTTAAAAGAGTTACATATGGTTCAAGAATTAAGAGAGAAAAGGGAGTGTAAAGTAAGAGACAGCGGTTCAGCCCTCAGTTAGCACGGTGAATATAACAGCACTATTCTTAGATATATCATTAATACATCTTTTCATTTTACCACCTTTGTTTGAGGGCTGAATCCAGTCCATAGAAGGAAAACATTATTTAGAAAGACTTAGAGTTAGATTATAACAATACATAGAGTTTTTAACGATAAGTTACCAGATTTTTACATAAAAAAACACGAAAAATATTATGGACAGTGACAGTTTTACAAATTTTCACCAGAAGTTCTGTAGTCAGTATTAAAAGGTTAGAAAGTTGTTGATTCACTTTTACTAGAAGAATTTTAATAGCTACAGGTTATCAACCACAAAAACTTTACTCCTATTATAACATAAAAGATGAAGTTAACAGAGATAACAAGTTACGACAATATATAATAAAAGAATCCAGTGAAATCATTTATCTTCATTAGGACTTAATTTCAAGGATTTCTTTTTTGGCCATTAAAGGTCTATTTTTTGGCTTCAAAGAATAATCAACCTATAAAAAATTGAGCCCTTAATAAAAATGATTTCACCATGAGTTTAGCAGCTGATAGAACTATCTAACCCTTTGCAATTACCAACCTCTCATTTCAGGTTCAATAATTGAATTGTTAAACCTTGTACGACAAGTGGCACATGATTTTAAAGTAAAGTCTGAATTTTCCAGTCTTTTGTACCAAGGATGGCGAGAAAAGGTCTTGACAAGCTACATTAAAACATCGCCAATCAATAAAATAAACAATAGTCCTTTCATCTATGTAGACTCTCACAAGGTCAGTCAAATTTTTGAATTTCAAAAAGTGGTACAGTCAGCTAAATTATAGTTCTATCAGCTGGTAGAGAGAATAATTAGAGAGAGATATCCCCTTAATCTAGATAGTCTTATACCTTCATCACTGTCAGCACCTCTCCTTCCTAATAAAATCATATACAAAATATTTCAAAAATATTAAAACAGAACCTGAAACATGTTGTTACTCAGAGTTTAACCTATTTCAGCCTACATTCCTAAAATGGATCGTTTGTTTAAAGAAGTGTGTATTTCTATATCAATCTTCAAAGGATAAATCCATCACTATTTGTACAAAATATTTCATGATATTGTCAGTTTGAAATTTCTGTTAACAACTGTTAAAGAGATAAGCATGGCATTAAACACATGTATATATTGAGCAGTGAATATAGGATAGATTCTCTGTACAGCTCTAATTATCTTTTTTCACAAAGTCTCAAGGTATTTTCAAACCAAAATTCACATGAATGTTGATTCTTAAATTTTTCAAACACTATTATATAACAGGCTGTATACTGAAGAAATTGAGATCAGTTTTTCAGATCATTAACAAATTAATATCAAGGACCTTGATGGATACTATAGAAACATGAATATAATGACTTACCATCTCGGCGTCTCCGTGAACCTTTAGCTGAAGATGGTCTGGGAATTCTTTCATCTTTATCTTCATTACCCTCGGCTGATTCTTTCTCTTTACTTTCTTCTTCTTTCTGGAATAGACAGATTGAATAGATGAATAAATTAATCGATACATGAATGAATGATGACAAAGTAGAAGAGAGATTAGCCAAAATACAATACATGAATGAATGGTACAAATACATGAATAAAAATGAATGGTGGAATAAATGAATGAATAAATACAAAAAGGAAAGAATGAATGAATAAAATATAAAAAAAATGAATGAATGAATAATGAAATAAAATGAATGCAAGGCCAAAGGCAAAGAAAGAATGAATGAATGATAGAGGAACACAATCAGTTCACATTCAAAAACCAATTCTCAATTCAATTAGCAACCATAACTTCCAACAAGAAAAGATAACCAATTCAAAATTCCAACAGGAAAAGATAACTCCAGTCTTCATGCGTCTACCTTTCTCCTATGTCTTCTCCTTCTTGGAACTAATTGAAAATCATCATCATCATCATCTACTGGCTCTGATCTAATTCTTTCAATTGTATTGGCTCCTAAACTTTCATCGAAGTTACCTCCCTTAGGTATTCGCCCACCATGACGATTTTTTGAGCCTTTTTTACGTTTATGTTCATCTTCAGAATAATCAACATTATTTTCCTTATTCTCACCAACAGATGTATTTATATCTGAACCAATTCTGTTACCAATTCTACTTTTAGTTCCCTTCTTTCTCTTCTCTTCCGACAGAGATCCCTTAATTGGAGTTACTTCCCCTATCTCATCAGGTGACTCATAACCAACATTTAAGGCTTGTCTTTCAGTTCGATATCTGGCAGCTTTCGGTCTATCACTACGTTTTCTGATTATTGGAATGTCTTCAAAAGGTTCCAAAGAGCTTTGAGAATCTTCTGGTGTGTTTTCAGGAGGAATTTGGAATTCATCATCGTTGAGTGAATCATCAGCGAAATATTCAGAACGCTATAGATCAAAATTAAACTGTCAACAGTGTCAAATTCGGACATGAGATTTTATAACAAATACGAGCATCAAATTTCAAAAATAATTTTAAACAAATTGAACATGAAATGAAAATGATTTTGAATAGCTTTTTTTTTGCTCCTGATATGGCCAGCGAAGACTTTGTCTTATCTTTCGGATATTCAACTAAAAATGGATCATCAGACCTCTTTTTACTTTCCAATCCAACCAACTAAGGTTTCTGCAACCTGATTCACAGACAAGGGGAAACAGATTTGAAAAACTATTTTTTCTAGAAAGAAATAACCATGTAATGATGAAATATTGGAAATGACTAAATATACAGAAACAAATCATTACAAACCTTTTTCCTATCTTTTCTGTCGCGATGTTTTTCATCCTTCTCTTTATCTTTGTTACGTTCTTCGCGATCTCGATGTCTTTCCTCTTTGTCTTTATCTTTGTGTCTGTCTTCGCGATCTTTTTTCCTCTCGTCTTTATCTTTATGTCTGTCCTCTCTCTCCTCTCTATCTTTACGATGTTTACTCTTATCGCGTTTTTCACGATCTTGTTTCTCTCCGTCTTTTTCCCTATCTCTACTTTTCTCACGATGTTTCTTTTCTTCACCCTTGTCTTCATCCTTCTGTAATTATATGTTATAATAATAATATCATTTAAAGACACAGAAAGATAACAGATACATCCATTTCAGCATTCACTTGCAGCAAGAAACTAAGACACAATTTGATCTTCACTATTTGGTTAAGTACTTACAAACTAAGAAAATCAGTTGAAAACTAAAGGAGCTCTTGCAGTTTCAGTATCCAAATCATGGGGGGTCAATGTAATAAAAGCACTGAAATTTTGATCTTGGATTGAGTTACGATATATGTCTACACATTCCAAACTTTATCAACACTGTAGTGTCTAAGGAAATGTTTATACCAACGGACGGACATGGGTTTTAACAATACAACAATGTCCACCCACATGAAGATAAATTTTTAACATAAACAATAACTATCATTCTTACTTCACTTCGTTTCTTTTTCTCAGATTTTTCTTTCTCTCGATCTTTCTTTTCTTCTTGGTTGATATCTTTATTTAAAACTTTTCTTACCATCTCATCATTATCAACCTACGGAAATTAATAATCACAAAACATTCATTACAAATAGTGTTTAATGGTTTGAAAAAGATTTTATGTGTAGACAAGAGACTTTTATAGAATTTAGGCTCAAAATCTTCTTAATATACCTAACAGTTAGTGTTCAATGTACTTAAAGAGGGGATGGGGGCAGTATGGTTGATTGTTCGGTTGATTTCATGAATTTCGAAGATCTCACCCATCGAGTGGCCACAAGATCACATCAACAGGAAATTTTCCAAGAGAATGTCAAAAACTCTCTACATCTATAGAAAGAAACCAACACAACATACCTTTTTGCTAATAGCCTGGGCCAGTGCTTGTAATAATTCATTAGTTTTCTCTGGTTCATGTCCAGCTACTATTTTACCAGGTCTTACAGTCAGAGATTTACCAGTCACTAGACCTGTAATTATATCATAATATAAAATAGAATAGAACAAGGGTTTTCAAGTTGGGGGTAATTCCCTTAAGTGGTAAGTTATTTCATTTATGGGAGGAAATGAGGGGCTTTACTGTCTAGCATAAGTCAGGCTCATTCTTCAACATGAGAATGATTGAAAGGAAAATCCAAAGAGACAATCACAAAATAGTAAGGATGGAGGCAATGCAATTGATCAAAAACCCTAAAAGGGGTAATAGAAAGAAAACCCTTGGAATAGAATTCTAGGGAGGTCATTGTTCAATTTCTTTGTCTTAGGATCATTTCCATAAACAATTTGCACTGTGACATGCCCACTCTTCAGACACACCTGATACGTCTCTGCAATTGGGTTTGTAAACTCTTGATGATGATGATGACAGTGTAACTTATAATAATGTTATATAGTAGGTGTAATCACACCCTTATACCATAAGATTGTGTTCAATTATTGGGTGTATGGATGGCATCATTTTGTTGGAAATAATCAAAGATATTACAGATACTTACAGACCATATCAATCACTTTCTGTAAGAAGGCAATTTTACTATCTTTATCCTGTCAAATCAAAAATATCATCAAAATTTACTAATTCTGAATATCACAAAAGTGTAACCTTGATTGAAAATGAAAATCAGATAGGCTATACATTCATAAGACGTTGATCAGTGTCTTAAAACGAGAAAAAGTTTATTTCGGCTACTCAAGTGCATTAGATCCTCATTCAGTTGCCTCCAACAAAACGTTTTGCTTTATCAATCATAGGGCAGATATCTGATTTGAAATGTGTTAAAATTTGAAGGGATGATATTATACCTTAACATTCTCTGAATTCAGTTCACTGTCTTCATGTAAACCTTTCATAAACCCTGTACTCTTTACAACCTGTATGATAAATGATAGATTAAATCTACAAAAACGATGTTACACTAAATTGACGCCAATGATCCATATTCAATTTTGGAGGGGGGGGAGGTTTCCACCATTACACATGGCATTACACATGGAATTCTACTGTCAAAAAGATTATGGTGAAAAATAATCAAAAAGGAGTATTTATTTGGAAAATTACATTAGTGCTGATACAAAAATATATCAATATCATAATGATATATTATATCATGTTATTATACCTATTATTCTAAATTAGAGTGTATTAACCATGTTATTATCCTTTGTTATTATTTTTATATTATATTAGGTTTAAGCCTAATGTTGTCAGCGAATGTTAATATACAAGACACAGTGAAATTATGCCATGCCATATGTTTAAATGTATAAGCTTACATACTACACAAATGCAGTTGAATAATTTAATTTATTTAAACAAACAACTTGATTGCAAAGTAGTTTTGTCATTGCTGATGAATTTATAATATTAATCATACATTTAGAATCATATCTCAAAATCACAAGTTCCTCTTTCATTAAATTAAAGGAATAAATCTCCATGTTGGTAAGAAGGATGACCGAAATCTGAGTTTCACTGGAAGCAAGGCTGGGTCAGATAGTGCAGTGAGATCAGGTTGTGAAGTGAAGCCAGTTGGCGTGCAACTACCAAGACATTTCAAGTACTAAGACAATAAATTACTAGCAAAGCAGTCAGCTGGAGCCAGGATATTCATACTTATTTACATGGGTCATTTTTTTTTATCTCTCACTTCACTACACTATAGAGTTTGAACTCACATCTTATCGGAATATTCACATGTAACTGTAGTCATTTCTAAAACCAAAACCTAAATAACTGAGGGGAACGAACAAAACGGAATGACGTACTTACCGATGTGGTAATGTCATGCAAAAATCTGAAAGGAGGTTTAGCCAACAACTTGTCTGTCAGAGGCGGTTTCTTGATGATTTTACCCAAAGTGTCTTGAGTTTGTTTGACGATCTTTGGATCCATGTTGTTACTTTCAGTTGAGGTACGGTATCAAATAAATTTTTCTCACACCAAAACCCTCTTATACAACATAATCTTGTTTTTGTATATTTCACGTAATTTTGATTTTCTAAATGCAGACGGAATTTCGTCCCAGCATTCCAACACGCACCTGCGCAATCATAACTTCCGTAACAACATCCGGTAAGCAATGTTTTTGTTTTCCATGGTAACAAATTGAAGAGTTCCAATCTTCATTAACTGGAGTTCTTCCCCTTTAGCCATTAGACACCCAAAGATTAACTTCCGATTGTTAAGTAGAAAATATAGGTAGGAAAATGAAAATATAGTCCTAAATCTCTTAAATCGGCCTATCCTCTGATTTCAACCTAACGGCCCTCACAGTTGCCTATGAGTAATTTTTTTGAATTGAAATAAAAATCCGAACAAGCAAAACAATCCTATTAATCAAAATCTCCTCCAAAGAACGGCAAAATCGAGAATAATTAATCAGAATTTTTAGTCCGAAAAGTAAGTCATTTTCACACGAATTTTCTATTTCAAATGTAAAATCACCGAACCTCATATTTCTATGGACCCAAAGACATCCTAAGACAAATGGCATACAATTAAATATTTATTTTGAATGTTTATGAAATGAGAGGAAAAAATTCAATTCAAAGTTAAATATACAGAGTAAGTCTGACACAATCCACAGGCCCTTGAAGTTCTGTTAATATTATAACAAAATATGAGCAATGTTGAGAAAATAGCGTCATCGTTTTTATTTACGATGACACTATTTTCTCAACATTGCCCATATTTTATTAATATTGACAGAACTTCAAGGGCCTGTGCACAATTAGAGGCCGACTGTTTTGAAATTTAATGTAGAAATTCCGCATCAATGATTGAGGAAGAAGGTGGCAGCTTAAAACCTAGGAACTGAAAGGAAGATATGTTACAGCTGGGCAGGAAAATACACCGGAAAATATAAAATCATTTTAGCTTCCTCGTTGCTAACCTTCCTGATCGTCAAAATTAATCATTTTATTAATCAAACTGGTAGTGAGACTAATTCTAGTATGCTTTGTCTCACCGCTCATTGATTCTTCAACAGTCGAGGATAATTTTAAGAAATTAGGCTAAATGATATTGTGTGTCCCTGGACAGTAATCAGTAATAGTGATCTATAATGTGTGGCCGCGTTTGGAAGTTAAAATGACGAGACTGTTATATATAGAAAAGACATACATGTAGAAATAGAAAGGGAAATTTCTACTCTGAGGTAATTTTGAAGGAATAATGCTATTTTAGTATATTTCTAGTACCTCTGAAAACCTATAGTCAGACTCAAATCAACACCCGATAATGACGAAGATACTTCAAATGAAATGGAATGGAGGTTAATATCATAACTTTCTCCATCTATTTGAGCCAGGGCAAACAGACAATGGGGGAAATTTTGCCAAGGCCTAGATTTATTGTCCGATCCTAACGACTAGACACATTCCAATCTCAGCCAACCGGACCTGTATCACTGACAGGGGAAACCGGATGGAAAAATCCGAAGGATTGAGCCCCGGTCCTTTCGGGTCAACGTCCCCACCCCCAACCCCACAAAACATAAATGATTAATGCAAGTAATCTGTTGACATGAGGTAGCCAATAGACATGCATATGATCCTTACGATCAAATATGGATCTTTCTAATAACTTTTTTTCCCAACAGTATAAAAACTGTTAGTCTATCTCTCACGTCATCGCCATGTTCTGTCCTTAAAAACTTTAAAAAAAAATGCTAAGTTCTATGTGGCTATGGGTAGTTGTTAGACATTCATAATATGATCTTAACAAACCTTAAAACATTGTAAAATTACAGTAACATAAGAGTCGTTCTTTTTATCTTTCAAACATTTCAAGAGTAATGAAACCGACAGTCTACCTCTCGCATTAACATCATTTTCTGTCCTTCGCATTTTAAAACTCCTCTGAATAATTCTAATCGCCCGCAGCCTAGAGCTCTCTAATTTTCTCAAAATGAAGACAAAAATAACATAGTATCAGATCGGTGATAATTTAAAAGTCGTCATATTAGACGGGTTATTATTACTCTTCACGCACGTCATATTGAAACAGAGCGGAGTAATATGCGTGTGCATGTCGTGTTTGTTTTCCGAGGTGTACGCAGTGTCTTATATCCAATCTTTATACCAGGGAGAAAATAAAGGGGTATCTAATGACAACACAAATCAGATCTCAGGTAACGTCTGTATAAAGAAAGGTTTTCAAGGGAGAGAACTCACGAGCTGAGTAGAATGTGATATCCGAGGTCAGATGTCAGTCATTGCCTCGGATTACAGCCTTGTCGTAATACAATAATCATCATGATTATCTTCCGACTGGAAAAATACAGGAAAACAAACTATTTTCTTTCAATAAAAACTCACCCCGATATAGAAAAAAGTATAGTTTGTTTTCTACGGTAAAAAAACCATATAGGATATTAAACAAGTTTTGGGGGCAATGAAACGACAAAAGTGGCAACAAAAAATATGGTCATGGACATAAATTAGAAAGTCATAAGACATTGTATTAGACAGGCACGTAGCTACGGGAGGGCAATGCAATCGGCAGAAAGAATGCAAAAAATAATTGCGCATGGAATCGAGAGCCCTGATTGGTTGTATTTGCTAGTGTACATTTAAATCACGTAATATACACTTCCATTGGAAACTCTGAAAAGCTCCTAGAAATTTCTGCTCTAGAAAAGTATAGCTCACTAGTACATGTAAGACGCGGTAGTACATGGGTGTTCACCTAGTTTTTGCTATGTATTAGCTTGCAATTTTTTGATAATTTGCAAACCAAATATAGTCCAGTCTGATAATAAACTGAATGAGATTTTGTAATAACATTTTATCGATCTTTAATTTTTTCAATACGTTTATAACTTTACTGCTTATTTTTGCGAGTGTTAACTTGGGCCTTGAAAATATTAACAGTCTTCAGAACTATTGCTGCGCGAAAATCGCATCATACCTTCAATTAGACCTCAAGCTCACTTTCTATTTTTATGTACATGAATGTCTTTTCCATATATGGCGTAGTCTCATGAAAATACATGTCGTCATTTTAACATTCAAACGCAGATAATTCTTGACACACATGGATTTGAGGACTCAAATTTCGATGGTGAGCTGTGAACACTATTACTGATTAGCTTAGCGATTGTGTGATTGGCCAAACGGATGGCGAACTCGTCTCTTTCAGTTTCAGATTAAGAAAATAAGCTTTCGGAATAATAAAAAGTTATGTTCTATTTGCCAGTTACTACTACAGAATTATCATCTTATGAAAATTACTGCTAGCATACCGGCTATATTTAATAAACAAACCGGTCTTTTTCATTAAAAATGCATGCAAACTTTGAAAAGAAGCTTCCTGCCATTTTTGCCATCAGAACCAACAGCAAATTTTTACATTGAAAATTTCATATGCATTATACCTATTGCTTGTTATAGTCGTATAACGGCATAAAATGCCACAATTTTCGTAACTACATGATGCTCGCAGGTACTTGCTGTGAAATTATTACCCCAGGCTTGGGAACCTGCTCTCTTTTGTTTGTTTTTGTTTTATGGTTTTGAACAATTCAGATCAAGATTTCATCTCTAGGTCGACTTATTCGAAATATATGTAAATAAATATCCCGATAGAAGAAAAGATAGGCTACTGTTCATGATTATGATAACTTCATAATTTAAAAAAATATAAAAGCAATAAACTCAATAGAGCACCTGCAATTAATCTACCTAGGTTACATGCACATGTTTACTAAACAAAGACCGTTATTAAACTTTTCAGTGGTAATTTGACCAACTTCTTCTTTTTTAATCTCTCTGCAAACCCGACACGACACGTGTCTAGGATCAATCTTCGAACGCAGCAAAACGTTTAACTCGAAGCGCGGAACTGTGACAGGAACAATTCATTATTTTAGCATCCTCGTTCCAGCTCGGGTGGATTACATTTCCAAATGACAAATTCTTGAATCTAGAATTTACCGGAAATTTATAATATTACGGGTTCTGGAGTGACTAAGGCTTTTTGTCAAGTCAAAGGCTCATATAAATTCTTTTGGTGCCAGTAAAATACATTTTCTATGTTTGTGCGAATATTATATAGTATCTCGTACAAGTACATTACACACTTTTATTAGCGTTTGACGCAGTGATACATTTTACTAATGTGTTGTAATTTTCCCTATTTACCAACAGGTGTCCATATGTTTCTACTTTGATTCGTAATTTTTGTGAATATTTCATGTAAATCTAACATGACGTCAACAACGATTATCACCGATTTGATATCTTTCTTTCTGAAAGTAGATATTTTATCACTAGATTATCAAATCGTCTCGAGTTAATTCGTCTCGTATGAACTCAAACGAAACGACTCGAGATAATCCGTCACAGATTAAATGACACGCAATGACTCGCCGCAGATGAGGAATTTGGCTGTAAAATGGAATACTATCTCGCGCTGGGCGTTATGATCTGTCAATTACTTCTCTCGACTTGGAATAATAATTATTCAA